AATCAGAGATTTTCTCAGCTGTGATTCACGGATTTGTCATCTACACAGTTTGATTTGTTCCATTTCACAGGGAACCAAATCAGTGGATGAATATTTTACTGAACTTAATGGTCTTTGGGAAGAATTGAGAAGTTTTCGTCTGTTGTCTCATTGTTCTTGTGGAAAATGCGATCAGGATTGTTTTAAGAAATTTGAGGGAAGAGAATCAAAGAAGTCTACTGATTCAGTCACAACATTTCAATGGGGGGCTGTTATGGCTGTCAAAAGAGGACAAAATCTGGACAAAGATAAAATATGTTATCATTGTGGAAAATTGGGACACATCAAAGAACATTGTTACAAGATCACTGAATTTCCACCAGATTTCAAGTTTACCAGATCAAAGCAGCCTTATCAGAATTCAAGGAATATCAATCAAATTTCTGTTGCTAAAGATAATACTCAAAGAATTCAAGCATCATCCAGGTCAATATCGAATCTCAATCTTTCCAAGGATCAGGTTCAAAAACTCATGGCTCTCATCTCTGATCAGAACACGATTGGCAATGCTAATACTTCAAATCCTTCTTCATCTTCAATCAATTGTGCAGGTAATGTTTCTTCTACCTTTTCTCACAAAAACACAAATAAATTCAATGAGGTACCTTGGATTGTTGATACAGGGGCCACTGATCATATCATGTGTTCCTTAGACCGTTTTGATTCTTACATCTCAGTATCAAATTTATCTGTCTATCTTCCTAATGGGAACAAAGTTCAAGTTAGCCATATTGGGAAGGTTACTCTTAATCCATTTATAAGTCTGCACAATGTATTACTTGTTCCCTCTTTCACATTCAATCTAATATCTGTTAGCAAACTAACACTCAAATATCGGCTGTGTTTCATCTTTCTGTCTCATCAATGTTTTATCCAAGCCCTTTCCTCATGGACGACGATTGGGTTGGCTGAAATGAGAGAAGGACTCTTCTACCTACAGCAATACTATCAACCTCATACAAATTCTATAGTTCTTTCAAATTTACAAGACATTTCTGTAGTATCTCAATGTAAATCTGATTGTATAGTGACCATTAATGTATGGCACCATAGGTTAGGACATTTACCTATGCATAAGATTGCTTCTTTCATTCTTGATGTAATAAGTCATGAAATTCCTATATGTACTACATGTCCTCGAGCTAAACAAAAGAGGCTTCCTTTTCTAACTCATATCAATAAAACTACACAATTATTTCAACTTATACATGTTGATGTGTGGGGTCCTTATTCTGAATTTGATATTTTTGGGAACCATTATTTTGTCACCATTATTGATGACTTCTCAAAAGGTGTTTGGACATACCTCATGAAACACAAATCGGATGTATCACACGTATTACCTCAGTTTCATAATTTTGTTCATACACAGTTTAAATCCAAAATTCAGATCATTAGAACAGACAATGGGTTGGAATTCTTTCTTCTTACCTTTTATAATTCTCATGGAATCATACATCAAACATCTTTTCCTTTCACACCTCAACAAAACGGTGTTGTGGAAAGAAAGCATCAACACATCATCAACATTGCTAGATCCTTACTTTTTCATTCCTCATTACCTGTCAAGTTCTGGGATGCAGTCTTTACTGTCGTATATTTGATCAATAGAACTCCAACTCATATATTGAATAGCTCAACACCCTATGAACTTCTATATAAACAGAAACCACAGTACTCACACCTAAGGTCATTTGGATGTCTAACCTTTGCTGTAAATCTTGCTCATCATAGAAGAAAATTTGATCCTAGATCAAAGTCTTGTGTATTCATTGGATATTCTTCTACAATCAAAGGATATAAATTATATGATCTTGATTCAAAATCTATCTTATTTTCCATAGATGTCGAATTTCATGAAGCATTTTTCACCTTTCTAAAAGCAAAGTCAAACTTTGACATTTCTCTTCCTAACTTTGTCTTTCCTTCTATTCCTGATACAATCACTGATTATACTAATCATGATAAGACAATCCTCAATCCTTCTTCATTTGATCAGCATCCATCAAACACAAATACCAATTCATGCAGTGACACTTCTACTGAAATGCAAACTTCTGACTCCTCTACTTATATTCTATCACTCAGAAAAAGTTCTAGAATATCCAAACCCCCATCATACCTCAAAGATTATCACATCACACTTCAAAACAAAGATCAATTTCCATCTTCCTCTAGTGTCACTGATCATCCAATTCAAGCTCACATTTCATACAATAAACTCTTTCCATCTTTTCAACAACTGGTTCTATCCATTTCTTCACTTCCTGATCCTCTGACCTTTGAGCAAGCCAAGTGTTTTGATCATTGGATTGAAGCCATGAATTCTGAACTTGCCGCCTTAGAAGCCAATGAAACATGGATCATCACCACTTTAACTGTTGGACACAAAGCTATTGGATGCAAATGGGTTTATAAAACCAAGTATCATTCAGATGGATCTCTAGAAAGACACAAGGCTCGCCTTGTTGAAAAGGTTTCAATCAAAGAGAAGGATTTGATTATCTAGAAACTTTTAGCCCGGTTGTTAAGCATACAACAGTCAGAGTTTTTCTTTCTTTCACTGCAACTAACGGATGGCATTTAGCTCAACTTGACATAAATAATGCATTTCTTAATGGCACTTTGGAGGAGGATGTGTATATGGAAATTCCTCAAGGTTACTAGATTAAGGGGGAGAATGGATGTAAATCTGGTAACATGCAAAAATATGAATCTGAAAAGTTAGTGTGCAAACTCCAAAAATCCTTATATGGTCTAAAACAGGCATCGAGGCAATGGAATATAAAGTTTACAGATTCTTTGATGCAACTCGGATTTAAGTAGTCAAAATCAGATTATTCACTCTTCACCAGATCATCAGGAGCAGATTTTGTGGCTTTATTGGTTTATGTCGATGACATAGACATTGCTAGCAATAATAATTCAATAATTGAGCAGCTGGAGATAAAGCTAAATGTGTTTTTCAAACTCAAAGACTTGGGGACTTTAAGATATTTTCTTGGCCTTGAATTGGCAAGATCAAAGTCTAGGATTTATGTTTCTCAGAGAAAATATGCATTAGAAATGCTGGAAGAATTTGGACAATTGGGAACTAAGCCTAGCAACATACCAATCGAAGTAAATCATAGATTGGTTCATTAAGACCAGGTTCTAGAAGATGCAACCAGATATAGACAACCCGTGGGAAAGCTGATGTATCTTACTCTTACTAGACCAGACATCTGTTATGCAGTTCACATTTTGACTCAATTCATGGATAGACTTGCAAAAATTCACTTGCAGGCAGCATATAAGGTGCTGAAGTATATCAAGAAAGCACCTGGACAAGGGATCTTATTTTCTGCATCATCAAATTTTCAGATTAGAGCTTACTCAGACAGTGACTGAGGTGGATGTAATGAGACCAGAAGATCATTAACGAAATTTTGCATATTCTTAGGAGAATCATTGATTAGTTGGAAGTCCAAAAAGCAAACCGTTGTTTCAAAAAGCTCAGCTGAAGCTGAGTATAGATCTATGGCATTAACTACTTGTGAAATCATTTGGTTAATTTCTTTGTTACGAGATTTTGGTTTGGAAAGCATACAATCAGCAACTCTTTTCTGTGACAACACTTTAGCTATACAAATTGCCAAAAATCCAGTCTTTCATGAGATAACCAAACACATTGAATTGGATTGTCATTTTATCAGAGAGTGAAAATACTTTCACTAATATTGTGACAGATTGGAAGTCCGATGATTACTGAAATTCTGTTACTCAGTTTGTTAGTTAGATAGTTAGTAAGTTTCATGTTAGTTAGAATATAATTAGTTATTTGTTATAGCTCACTAGCTTAGTTAATTGTGTATATATATCGCATGACTTCAGATGAATGAATAGCTTCAGTTTTCATCATTTTCATCTTCCACGGCTTATCATCTCTCTCAGTTTCTTATAAATATCCTACAAGTACGAATTATTTTTTAGAAAGTTAGGGCAAAGCTCACAAATCTTTCATTTGGTGTGATTCTGGTCTTCAACCTTCAAATTTGAGGTTATGAGTACCCAATCTATTTAAATTAGTGAATCTGATTCTCCACGTGATCGAAAATCATCATGTGGACATTAAAATTTCATGCTACCTTCATGTGATTTAAAGATGAAAGACAACATATCAAACTACTCACATTAATGTCTACGTTGATGATATCAGTCAATTAGACCCAAATTTACAAATTCAAATAGGTTAGGGACTCAAAACTTCACTTTGATGCTTGAAGATTACCACACCACGTGAAAGGTTAATTAGGGAGTCCAAACCTAATTTTTTCTCTTTATTTTCAGTGTTTGCACTACGGATTTTTTGCACAAATGGTCCTATACTTTGCGCTTACTACTTGAAGCAATAGGTGACCATCAGATCATTGTCACCTCTCTACCACATGTGAATTACCTACACGCTTAGAACACTGTTAGCTTGCAAAGGTGACCATTTTAAGGGGTAGTCCCGAAGTGGTTTGCACACAACGATCAAATTAATTGTCGAACAATAAGAACATGTATGTATGAGAAACAAAATGGATAAAGACTCGACTAGGTCACCAGAGGTTTGATTTCATGCATTATTCTTCATATTGAACGTAGTATTTATAGGAAAACTAAGGTCAAGGATTTTCAACAGTTTTTAACTTATGTGGATACATGTCATTCCGTCATTGATGAGGTTGTTGTCAAGTGTCAACAACTGATTCTTGTTTGGTTCTGTTTTTCGGTTTTAACGTTCATTGCGGTGGATCTTTTGCCACATTGCTCTTTTATTTGAAGTAAGGAATGTTTTGTTATTCCATTATTTAAAGCAAGAAATCTGAGATCACACACTTATGCTTTGTTAATTTTCCCTCGGACTTGCAGCAAGTTAAAAAGGCAAAGTAAGCATCAACTTAAGGGCAGCCAGGCTAGCGTTCGCTTTCTTGTGCCTAGCCAGGAAGTTTGTGAACTCGAACCCTTCCTCTCTGGCTTTGGAGGCGTTTTAGCTCCAGACTATATGGAGCAACTTCGGTCAGGCACGCGAGGCTGGCCAAAGTTCAAAATTACGTGATTATAATAAGATACATGGTCATTTAATTTTACGTGACTGGTACATGACGTTGACGTCGGATGAGATAGTATTAGTCCTAAAAGCTCTGCTCAAATTTCCCAATATATACTCTTTTAAATAGAAGAAAATTACACATGTAGAAAAATCTGTATCATTACTTAAACCAGATAGTGTAGCGAAAATCCTTTAGTTCATAGTTCATACATGTAGGCAGGCGTCAGAAAGATGTTCTCTCACTCTCTTGCCAATTTACATTTACAGTCAAAATTACTAACCTCTACTCTATAGTAATATAAGACGTGACTAATCTTGATGAACAATGATTTAACAATTTCTCACAGGGCTAAAATTATCTAACCTAACACCGATGAGAGGGTGGATAGGGTGGTGGCGGATGATGATCTTGGCGACGGGGAACCACCCTGTACTTACAACACCACTGTTGGTACTATGCTCTTTTTTCTTCTTTCGTCTTCTTTCATTAATTCTCCACATATCATTTCCAGTTTTTCAATATTTGTTTTCTCAACCAGCTTCTTTCCAGAAAACAATACAGATTCCACGTTTTTTTGTGCCAACAATTCCTCTGCAATCATCAACATGTTTCTATTTTCTTTGTTACTCGTTACTATTCCACCCCCTTGAATACGAACGTAATTATTTCCTCTTGACTCACCAAATGCCATTGATACAGCTTGATCAACCTATACCCCCACAAGAAAACACATAATAAGTACAAACAATTAATAACAAGAAGTAACTTTTATCAATATGTACTGTGGGTACCATGTCGGAAGTTCCATCTCCGGCAATCCTAACAAATGCGGCTGGAAATGACATCATCCTGCCGATTCCGGCATCTGACTCGCCGTTGGCTAGTGACACGAGAGTTCAGACAGAATGATATAGGATTCAATTGATAGAAAGAGGAGAGAGCGAGGAGGGAGAGACGAGAGTTCAGACAGAGATGAATGAGAGAGGGATTGAAAATTAGGTTTTGATTAGGGTTTTAATTATTAATTTAATTAAAACCTGATTTTTGATTAAATAAACATTATACCTGATTTTTGAATTTGAAAACTTAAAAACCTGGTTTTAGGTAATTTTCTCTATTTATAAAAGGTTATGGACATTTGCTAGCAGAAATTGAAGGTTAAAGTAAAATTTACAAAAATTGAAAAGATTCGAAACCGCTACTACAATTTCCCCTATTTTTTTATCTAACATAATCTTTTTGACTTCATCTTGAACTCCTTGAGTTTTGGGGTAAAGATTGAAAATGAATGTAAGATTTATTTAGTGAGTGACAATTACAATTTTTTTAGATGATATATATAAATAAAATTATATTGGATAGGAGATTCGACCACCGAGTTTGTAGTTGACTCGCCTACTTCGTCGTCTTCGTCAAATGCACAAATTGAATATAAAAATTATAAATCTTGATATTTATTTTTCAGTTCATTAATTTGGATTGACAAATTAATGGTTAATAATAATAATAATAATAATAATAAGAGAAAATCTATGGGTGATTAATTAGAAATATGAATGGAAATTAACTAGCGTGTTACTGTTGTTTTCGTTCGCTATTATTTGTACAAAGTGTAAATGTGCAAGGTCAATGGAAAATCCATGTAAGTCCTACTTGTGAGATACAGTATTACATTTCATGTTTCATTTTCTCTTTCAATTTTTATTGTCTATGATGGTACGTTCACGTTCCGACAGTCGAAACCACATTTCACATTGTTTAATATTGCCTCCATATTCAAGGAACTTACAACTTGCAAACTTTTGTACTTTTTAAGATAATAACCAAGATCTACCAATCTTATCTAGATTAGAGGTCACGAGAAACTTTCTGTTAAACTGTATTGATTTGGGTGTGTTCATGTCTCTCTACGTCAATGAGTTAAGACGCGAATGTGTGACATATGTCTCTTATCAAATTTATGTACATGTTACTTACAGTTCACGTTAACTGTTAAGATTTCAATTCATTTATTTTACTATTTAGTTCTTAAATGCCTCAATAATAAATGAGAAGATAGTGTTGATATTTTGTGTACCTAAGAAAAGATGGTACCGATCTTTCATCCACAGTTATTAGTAGGGAATGTCGTGTATTGGCAAAAATTGAAGCAAATGGAGCTACAACCAGATTTATTTTTTCATTGTCATATATGAACAAATCAGTTTGTTCCTCCTAATATATATACATCTTGCATTAGCTGTAGATTCTGAAACTTTGCACTAGCAATCTTAAGAATTAAAATTAGATCTTTTAATGAATTTTAGACATATTTGTTGAGATGGTCGAGAATTTTTCTCCTAATTGTAAATGCAAAACTTAGTTAAAGTTGGGAACATAAAAAAATGTAAGGAAAATAGTAATGTTCGCAATTCATTTCCTCGCATGACGCTACTACTCACTTCAATTCACCCAACATTAAATCCAAACAAAAGGTAGGGGACACCCGACCGGGTTCCTTTTGTTACAACGGGTGTGACCATTGTCGGCCTCCCACCATTAATTAATTTCTCTAAATTTTTACTCAACACTAATCATGTCTCTACCACTTTAATTACTATATAAACATTTGTTTATCATATAATTTGTCTGATGGTGTGCTGTTTAGATAGGACAGAATAATCTTACTGCATATTTTTTATTTAGCAATATTATTTTACTATTATTTCTATTTATTATTTTAGTCTGCACCATAGAGGCCACATGTTTCTAGTTTTTTTTCTCTCTCTCTTTTATTTTCTTTTTATTTTTTTGAGAGCCTATCTTCATTTTTATGTATATTTTTGTGCCCTTTAAAATATTATTAGAAATGTGTTTAGTGTGGCATTAATTTATTCTTACAATTAGCCAAAAATTGTGAGTTGATGAGATTCCCACGTAACAACCGTGCCACGTCGTAGAAATTTCGTCTTTCTTTCCATCCAATTTCTATTTCTTAATTCCGGGAATTGTTTTATTAATAAATGTCTGCAATTGATCATACATGTTTGACTTGTCCATAGACATTGAACTTGATAGCTGTATTTTGAGGAAAGGTTTGTTCAAACATGTAACTACTGCAAGTGCGTTTCTTATGTTTTAGGCTTTTTGCATAGCTCAAGAGAAGTTTCATGATAATCCACTGAAAAAATCAGAGTTAACAATAAAGTTATTTCCAAAACAAATAGAATAGATGATGATCTCGATATTTTTGTGCCTATGTTAAAAGATAACGTAAGAGGTTTACGGACGAAACATTTTGGGTTTCCCTTTTTAGTAAATAAAACTCAATTTGGATTCAAATGTTTAATCTAGATATCGATTTTGGAATCTTCTTATTGTTGAGCTAAGTCATTACACACGCACACACTGGCTACTCTAATTTCATGAAGGGGTACTTACAAAAATACCCTTAAAATTAGGGGTGTTTTGAAAAATCATGTGAAAGGTTTTTAGAAAGTAAAAAATACTGTATAAAATAAAAAAGTGACACAAT